CATCCACCTTGGAATGTTTGAGGTTCTTATCAGATCTTTCACTACTTGATGTGATACATTTTGCTCTTTAGTAGCACACAGTAAAGATTACTATTGTTCTTCCACAAGCAATCAAAAGAAATCAGGTAAACTAGCTTACAAACTAGGAGATAAGACTTGTGGTAGGAAGCAGAAAAGGAGAGGGAACTGTGCCTTCTTTGGAATCACTTCTGTGCCATGCCATACCTTTTTTTTCTTTCTTGACTTTTTATTTCACTGTGTGATCTCAGTCTACAGGGTGTTTAATCATATGCACTAGTTGTCCACCAGGCTCAGGCAATAAGATAGATTCTTAAAAAACTCTGAACAACCTCCGAAAATTACCTGAAAGAAGCATGGCTCACAGATGTCTAACCTTAGTTGTGTAATTTTTTATTTTAATTTTTATTAATTACACTTTATTAAGACCCTGTAGCTCCTTTGCCCTTCCTCTCCCAACTCCACCTTCCCTCCCCCTTCTCCACTGATAGGGGAGGTCTTCCTCTCCTTCCTTCTGATACTAGTCTATCAGGTCTCATCAGGAGTGATTGCATTGTCTTCCTCAGTTGCATAATTTTTAGTCTTAAGTTCTATATCCAAACTTCTTAAAGGCAGGGCTAGGAGATCTTCATTCAGCCCAACACTGTAATCTAATACTGTCGTTAGTCCTGAAAAATAATTAAAGCACCCTGAAGAATTTAGGTAAGCAAATGAGTGTAGTGAGCACATCCTTGCATTGATATTAGTCACACTGAAGTATAAACCTCAGCCCATATTCTCCAGTGTTCAAGAAAGCAATTTTTGTCTATATAATATGTCTATATGAGTGAGTATATACCATGTGCATCTTTCTGCTTCTGGGATAGCTCACTCAGGGTGATCTTTTCCAGATCCCACCATTTACCTGCAAATTTTATGATTTCCTTGGTTTTTTTTTTTTTTTTTTTTTTTATTGCTGAGTAAATTTCCATTGTGTAGATGTACCACAATTTCTGCATCCATTCCATTCCTCCACTGAGGGGCATCTGGGCTGTTTCCATCTTCTGGCTATTACAAATAAGGCTACTACAAACATGGTTGAGCAAATGTCCTTATTATGTACTTGAGACTCTTTTGGGTATATGCCTAGGAGTGGTACAGCTGGATCTTGAGGAAGCGCTATTCCTAGTTGTCTGAGAAAGAGCCAGATTGCTTTCCACAGTGGTTGTACTCACTAATATAGACATATAATATAGAATAAACCTACTAAAATCTGTACACCTAAAGAAACTAATCAAGAGGGAGGACTCTTGCTAAAATGCTCAATTCCTATCCAGAAAGGCAAAGAGGATGGACATCAGAAGAAGGAGAAAAGAGGGAACAAGTCAAGAACCTGACACAGAGGACTTCTGAAAGGCTCTGCCCTGCAGACTATCAATGCAGATGCTGAGACTTATGGGCAACCTTTGGACAGAGTGCAGGGAATCTTAGGAAAGAAGTGGGAAACAGTAAGATCTGGAAAGGACAGGAACTCCACAAGGAGAGCAACAGTACCAAAAAAAAAAAAAAATCTGAGCACAGGGGTCTTTCCTGAGACTGATACTCCAACCAAGGACTATGCATGGAGATAACCTAAGACCCTTGCACAGATGTAGCCATGGCAGTTCAGTATCCAAGTGGGTTCCATTGTAATAGGAACAGGGACTGTCTCTGACATGAACTGATTGGCCTGCTCTTTAATTACCTCCTCCTGAGGGGGAAGCAGCATTACCAGGCCACAGAAGAAGACACAGCAGCCACTCCTGATGAGACCTAATTGACTAGGATAAGAAGGAAGGAAAAGAAGACCTCCCCTATCAGTGGACTTGGGGAGGGGCATGCATGCAGAGGGTGGAGGAAGGGAGTTATTGGGAAGGGAGGAGGGAGAGAAACACAGGGGGGATACAAAGTGAATAAAATGTAATTAATAAAGAATTAAAAAAAGAAAGCAATTTTTCCAGTTTATTTTTTAAGTTTACCTTGATTTCTATTTTGAGCTATGATTCTTGCAGTTAATGAAAGTGAGAACTTGAAAAATTCTGGTTCTCTTTTCCCCAAGTAATTTCTAAATTACAGAGTTTACCCTCAGAAATTCCCACAATACCAATCTTTTGTAAAATAGAGAGATAAAAGAGAAGTCTGAGAGTCAGTCTCAGATATTCTATGGTCCCCATCCACACAACCACTGAAATGCTGTCTAACCCCTATGTCCTTATGATGGGACCTACCCTGCTCAGACTTGGTTTGCTATTTCTGGATTATCTGGAAATTGTTCCATTCCTTCTACAATATAGTGGAGAATGGAAAGTTATATGACACAGTAGCTAAATCTATCATGAAAGGGTTCATCCACAAAAATCTTGCTGTGCTTCTGGGTTCCCCTGAGGAAACTTCCCCATCTACATTACTCTTCTAAATCTCCTTGCAGTATGGAGACACAACAGGGGTCAGCTTTTAAATTAGAAAGCAATGCCCTTCTTTTGACATTCACCAAAGCTAAGCACACAAGATTATGCTTCCTGCTTGTCCGACTGCAGTGTAAGAAAGTTTTGCTTTCCTTATATAAATGTCTATATATTTGTCACATTCCTAGAAGAATCTATGTTTTAAAAACTCAAATGTAGAAAGCTAATTTTATATCTTTATGACTCAAGCCCTTCTAAAGCAAATAAAACACAATGGCTTGAAATTTAACTTAGTTGAGAGACAAAAGAGGATGAAAATGTGAAAGAAAATAATCAAATGATATTACAAAAATAGTATTGCATGATGAATACCATCCTATTCTTAAATATCAAGGGTGATGATTTATTCAGTGCTATTTAGAAGATGGGGAGAAACACATTCAGTACTTTCTGCACAAATTATAAGATATTAGTGGTGCACTATTGTAATGAAAACAGTTTTATTTGCTAGAGTGAGGAGCCAGATTTCTCAGTTCTTGAAGCTGTATGATATTGGTAAAGCTACATACTTTCATTCTCAATATTTTCACCAACAAAATCAGGGAATGTCAGATTTAGGGATTTATTTTCCTCTGCTTATGATTGTTTTGTGAGTGCTGGTAGCAGATATGAATTAATCTGTCTGAAAGACTTTGTTTCTCACGTTTCAACAAATGCTGCATTTATCAGTTCTTGCTCTCAATCTTATGGAGACAACAGAGCTGCTTAGGTGAGCATAAGAAATACACAGATTTTTTTTATACTGCTAAAATTATACAGGATGACATGAAGTTAGATTGATTTAGGTAAGAGAAACATTTCATAGATAGAAGAGTTGGAGAAGTAGCTGACAGGTGTGTGTCAGCAAAACTTGTGGTCTGGAGCCAAAGATTACAGAATTCTGAAGTCACCCTCCTGTGCCATGTATTGAATTCATTAGGTTCATTGACTAAATGTCATCTGGTCACTGAATACTCTTCAGAGAGAATAAAACAAGGATTGTGATAGTGTTTGTAAAGTTGAGGAAGCATAAACCAAGGAGCTAAGGAAAATACTACATTTGAAACCAGAGGAGAATCAGAAACACAAATTAATAACTTCTTTAAAAATCCTAAGGTAGCCAAGGGTTAAAAGTGGCATGATTTTTAAGTTAGCATAGAAACATGTAAACAATTACATAAGTATGACTATAAAAGGATTGAGTAAATGAAGAAGATACTCAAAAAAGAGGGTTGGTAAGAAAACTACAACCTGTCAAAATAGTGAGGACAAAAGTTTGTAGTACCTAGTCTCAGATGAAACCTCTAAAGCACAACTTCTACACCCAAGGCTCAAGCAACACTGAGAAAGAGGGGAGAGAAGAGCCAGAGATCCAGCAAAGCTGCTGTGTCTTCTAAAAATGACAAGAAAGCTAAACCATTGATACCTCAATGTCATGACTGCCTAAATATGACCACAAGTACAGTAACAATAGACATGCTAATATGCCAGGCAGAAATCATAGACAAAAAAACTATAGAAGCTAAAGAATGCTGAGAGCAAGAGAAATATTCCATGCCAGGGATGAGCCCCCTGATTGATCCTGATTGATCTAGTTCAGCCCTGAAATCATATACATAACAAGTAACTCTAAAGGAATGAGCAGGTTGTATTTATACAGTTGTGTGTGTGTGTGTGTGTGTGTGTGTGTGTGTTTGAGTCTCTATTGTGTGTGAGTCTCTTTCTGTGTATTTGTCTTTGTTTATTTGTGTGTGTCTCTCTGTGTGTTTCTGTATATGTCTGTGTATGTGTGTGTCTGTGTGTTTCTGTCTCTGTATGAGTCAATGCATGTATGTATTTGCATGTGTAGTCTTTCTGTGGGTCTGTGAATCTCTGTATGTATGTCTCTCTGTGTGTGTCTCTGTGTGTATCTCTGTTTGTGTGTGTAAAACAATAGCAACTAAAAAAGAAACCATAATTTCAAAAGGAAGCCATGGGATACATGGAGAAGTCTGAAGAAGAAAAGCAAATGGGGAAGATTATGTAATTATATTTTAATTTTAAAAAAATAAGGAAACAAAAAGCAAACAAGTAAAACAACAGTGTAGCACTGACATCAGAACTTTTGTTGTTCAAAGAAACACACAGGATAGATTTTATTGTTCTAGTTTTGCAAAATGGACTTACTAATAATTCGAGTACCTGGCTTGTATTCTGTTCAGGTATATATATATATATATATATATATATATATATATATATATATATATATATATATATTAGTGGCTATGCCTTTGCATTTGGTGGTGCCCTAGTGAATCCATACGGTGCTCTAGATAGTAGTGTTTACAAAAATGTCAGGTGCTAATAGTTGATTCAAATGTTACATTATTTTGTACTTTTAAGAAAATAGCAGGTCATACAGTTACCTCATTAATTTAATATAAAATAAACACAGTCACTTTTGTTTTTCTCAACAGACTGCATGTTCAAAGTTGATGCTGAGATACTTTAGTGACAATTAAATTGATCTTCCCACAGGTGACTTGTATATTGGAGGAGTGGCTAAAGAAACATACAAATCCTTGCCGAAACTGGTCCATGCCAAAGAAGGCTTTCAAGGTTGCTTGGCATCTGTGGACTTGAATGGCAGGCTTCCAGATCTCATCTCGGATGCTCTTTTCTGCAATGGGCAAATTGAAAGAGGATGTGAAGGTACTACATCTCTGTTTTTACACTGCACAGTTCTGATACAACCAAAATATAAGTTCATTTAGAACAAACCTCCTCACTGGCCAGCAAAACTTTTTTCTGCCAGCTGCTAACATTTTCTTTTACATATCTATTGTTTGAACATTCTACAAATCTTAATTTTTCTGGATTATTTGTAAGAATACACTGAGGTGCAACGTAGAATAAGAGCTGGAACTGCAGAGCTTCTCCCTTTTCCATAGAAGACTGTAGTTTGGCTAAGTACCATATGAATCAGTCCTATAATGCTATAATTAGAGCATCAGATACCCATTTAAAATGGAAAAATATATTCCAGTAATTATAAGGTTTTTACCCATTTTTTAAACTTTAATTTCAATGGGATGAAAACTGAGAATAGGACTTTGAATTTATTCCCAGATCACGATTTTATTTTCATGTATCTGATAGCAAGCAATACATTCTATGTTTTGTCAAGGACAGTTTTCTTTTATTATCCGGGGCTAATGCATGATCTTTGGAAATGCACTCCATGTTCTTACATTCTTTCATGCCTCCTATCCTACAGGAATTTTTTTGATTGCTGCTTTCATTTTAGGTAATTTTCTCTTCAACACTGCAGTTTTTTTGAGCCAGTTCTACCTCCACGAATGTAATTCAATCATATTATCATGAATTGTATGGCTCTCTCTGTGTTACTGTTGCTCTTTTAATGTTCAACATAGTTTGAGCCATTTTGAAAACTTATATTTCTATGAAATTTTGCATAAGGGAAAAGGAAGAACAAATTGTGATTCCTGTTCTTACAGAGATTATGAATCACTTCTCAGCCAAAATAACGTCATAATATTTAGCAATTATCTAACTCTATGAAACTTTTTAATTTGAAATCACATTTTCCCCTCACCGAAGCATCTGTTTCTCTCAAAAGTTAACTTAAATTCAAGCTGTTGAAATAATAAAAGAAAGTAAGAGTATTAGTGGAAATCTTTTTTGAATTCAGTTTTAATATCATCGTCATACTTACATTTTTTTTAATTTTTGAAATAACATTTGTAAAACAAAGACTGTGATTTCTTATGTGACTTATTTAGTAAAAGAAACACAATTATTAAACATGTAAACTTTTCCTAATAGGAGAATACAAGAATGTGAGATACAATTTTGTTCCTTAGGAATGGTCTAATACATGAGACTAGGTCATTGGTTTATTTATGTTTTAAGGGAAAGGCACTACAGTTTCTTGGACACTACTTTTCAAAAGTAAGCCCTCCTAGATATTGTGTGGCAAGTGCTTTTTAAAAGAGATATAGGCAGCTCAGTAACCACAAGGCAGGAAAAGGACACGATACAAAGGACCCCACCCTTACACATTTTCTTAGTTCACTAAGTTCAGGATGGAAAGAAAGGTTAATGAGAACAAGATTGCGTACCAAATGCTTGTAATAATAACAGTTGCTGTTGTTTACAATCTAATTTAGTAGGCAATTTGTCTATTACACTTAATTATAGGTTTCTCTTCACTGGCCTTAAATTAGTTTCTGAATATTTGAACCCAAAGCAGCAGTTTATGGAATAGTCTGCCTATGCATAGAGTAAGTTTTAAATAGCCCAGCCTTAACAATTTTACCACTTCTCATGATTTTGTTTACTCGGTGAATATCATCACATTCCTATCTTTCTGATATCATCTTTCACTGATGATTTTATTCCAAAATTTAATTTGTCAATTTCTGTCCTGAATGATCCTAAGAATAGGCTCATATAAACTTCTTGTAGGTGTAAATGATGAAATTCACATGATTTTAGGATTAACAATTAAATTAGACCTATCCAATATATTATCTTTTCAAAGAAACTTGTCTCAGGGAATTTAACTCCTCCTTAGATTAGAATTATTTAACTTCCTTGTTAATAAAAATAGTATATTTTAGGCATCTCTAAATATCAGCTTGAAAAAGTTTTCCATCATTCTTGTGCAACAAGACTGGCTAAACTTCAAGTTCCTGGCCTGCAAAGAGTTTTGATCTTTCATTAGTAATCACTCCTTACATTTAATATATAGCTTATTACAATGGACAACAGTTGATTCAATTATAAACATGTCTCAGCTAGACAAAAACCTGTCTTTAGTCCCATTTTGAGTTTGACATTTCTCATCAGCCTATGTTGAGCTCACTTGAAGAGTTGTTATTATTTTTTTCTAATTGGAGTAATTATTTCTTCTCTTAAAAATTTATTTTTAGATGATTTTGTTTTGCATTTAATGGAAAATTGAGACTGAGAATCAACAAAGTGGGCCCTCTAAACTCCAAACAACTTCTCAACAAAACTTCAGTGACACTTTTAAACTTTTTCTGTAGACCCATGTACTTCTTACTGGATTGGTTTGTGCATAGCAATAATGCTGTCATTTTAATGGCTGTCACTGATTAAGCAGTGGTAATTATAAATTTATATATACTATTTTACTTAACCCCAAAAACACTATAAACACTAATGATTACTTTTTTTCTAGATGAGTAAACTTCAGCTCAGAGAAATAAAACTAGTGAATGACAAAGGTTTCAAACTAAAGTTTATTTCACTTAGAAGGCAGACTTCTAAACTAACTGTCCTTTCTTTTTCTCTATTATCTAAGTTTTAGAGACATTATTTCATTTTTCTTCACTTTTCAGAGACATCCTTTTTTTAAAAAAAAAAAAAAAGATCACTTTGTATAAATGTCCTTTGGCTTGTTTACAATTTCAGTCAGTGAAACAATATAATAAGAAATATATAACTAGAGAGAAAATAAATCAATGCTTTTACTTGTGCAAATATGTATCAATGCTTAAGTATTATTCTAGAAGGTGAGTACCTTCAAAAACTGCATGTTGCCAAACACAGGTATGCATTCTCATGTAATGCCTGAACTATAAAAACTGTGCAGAAAATGAAAAATAAGAACGAGAGCCATGTTTTGTGCTCTCATAGACAGCTGGCAGCTTTCTACAGTTTAGCTAGATTCATTTCTAAGATAACACTGCTAGTACATTTAGAGTTTAGCATTATTGAGTTGTTGCATGACTGATAATTTGTCTGGTGGGTGCTGATGGTCTTCAGTTCTTGATCCTATTTTTTCTGCTATTGGCTCAGTCAGAAAGTAAATAATTATTTGATAAAACAGCTTCTTCATAACACAAGACTCCCCTATGCCTGATTCTCACCTGGAGAAGAAACATCCAATGAAGATTCTTTCAAGAGATTTCTATTTCTTTAAACTGACATTTATTGATTTTAGTCTCTAATTCTGTGGGTTATTTATCAGTAGAACATTCAAATATGTGTGGAACAAAAAGATAGCATGGTACTAATTCATGCTTAAGTTGAAAACATTACATATTTAGTTCTGGGAGATTACTATTACTGAATTATTACCCATAACACTATTACTGTTTTAATTATTATTTGATGATACTAATTATTATTACATAAGCAACTGGGATTTATAAATCCTGTATTTGTAAACATAATTTTGGCTTACTTTAGTAATTTCCTGTGAACAATACCTTTACTGAGAAAGTCATCATATACATGTTTGTATGATACTTGCTAAGTTTTATTTTATAAAATCGTGGCTTTATATAAAAAGACTAATTACAAAAAAAGTTTATTTGCTGAAGCAGTAATCTCAATGGCCAACATTAGCATCTAATTTGTTTGAGATCTATTTTGACATTTTTAAAGAAAATATATAATTATTATTGCCAGAAATGATAATTTCTTGTTTATACCTTTTAAAAGGATTATGCACCTTGTGTTCCCTTTTAAGGTTTTATAAATTATTTTTTCTAGAGTTTTGGTAATCATTATTCACATGGAAGTTTATTAGATCTAAGGGCAGCCATGAAGGTATAGGCAACACCAAGAACTTTCTGGAATCTACAAATCATATATTCCCAACCTTTTAAGAGTGGGCATGAGTCCTGAAATCTTATAAAAGAATGTTCTCTAGAAAGAATTATATTGCCAGTTATCTCTACCATTCTATGACTTTCTTCAGCTGCTTCAAATGGGCATACAGTTTGGTGTTTTGGCATTCCAGCAGAGCAGAGCTAAGAGCACATAACACACTGTCTTAAGTAACAGTTGTAAACGAAAGTTTTCACAAATCTTTCAAGAGGGAGAAGCACGCCCAGAAGTATTATTCCCACTGCAAGGGCCATAGTCTAGATCGCGTGTATACACGAAACAGCACACTGCATGGTCCAATGAGCAAGCCACTTAAAAAAATGCACCCTTAGCTGTATAGGAGTGTAGGAATAACAAGAGGCCTTTGAGATTCCCCTCATTGTGTCATTGGCTCGATTAATCATTATATGTATACATACACAGATAGTGTCAACTTCTAAAATTTATACTGCTTTCTCATTTTTTGGCTTTTCTTAAGATTTATGGCTGTTGATATTAGTTTGTTTGCTATACATAACATTTTCCCCTTTACAGCAGCATGCTTTTTTTGAATTTAAACATTCTGTTTGCCCCATTTTCATACTGCTTACTAACATTAAATATATTTTGCTTTTTTTTTAATTTTGCTGACAAAGTTGCATTGATGAAAGCTGACTTGCAAGGTAGATAGCTCTGTGTGTATAAAACAAGACTGAAACCCCAACAGGCAGAGTGGAGACCCTAAAATAACATTTGAAAATATTTTTTTAGTAACTGTTATTTGGGTTCAGGTTTCATTTTCCCTCTTTTTAGACCTTGTGTGAGAAACCTCATTTTGTAGCATAGTTTGCATAATGGCTTTCAGTCTTGGACATGTTTGAACAGTTGCTGCCTTTAGTGCTCTCATCATTCTCTTCTGGTCCTTGTTTTTCAGTGTTCTAGTTATAGTCCTTTAGGAACAGAATAGCATTCCTTTTACGTGTGTGTTCGACAGGGGCATGCCATTTATGTTGTTTTCATTTTATGTTACTTGCATGATGTTGTCAAAGCATGTGAACTGATACTTGCCAACATACCTATTCAGGGCACCGACAACATGACTTTAGCCATGGTGTATGTGTGGAAGCGGCTGGATCTCACAGGGCATTTCTTCCATAAGTCTGTTTGATTATTTTGCCTTTATCTTTATCTCAATTTCATGATCTTACAATATCCATTTTTCATGGCATCTCTATTCATTGGTAAGAAGTCAAGGAGATCCATTCATTTTCTAAGATCCAAAAGGTGACAGAAATCATTAACAACCAATGAGATTTTCTGCTACCACCATGACCATCCTAGAAGCTATGCACTTCCTTTTAATATTTGTTGGTTTAGTTATGATTATGATGTATTTTTCTTTTACTTGAAGCTTGAGAAGGCCTTTATGTTAAACTTCTGAGATCCTAGTTCAGGGTGTAACTTTTCAAAACTAGCTTGGACATGTAATTTAAGGTGTTGGCAACTACTATATGTGACGAGCTCATGTAAAGAACATTCTGCATTTTAAAATGAAAAATGAAAACAAGTGTCTTTTGGAATGTTTTACAGGACCCAGCACAACGTGCCAAGAGGACTCATGTTCAAATCAAGGTGTGTGCTTGCAGCAATGGGACGGCTTCAGCTGTGACTGTAGTATGACTTCCTTCAGTGGGCCACTCTGCAATGACCGTAAGTACCTGTCCGAGTATGGACAGATCCTTGTCATTGTTTGCAGATACTGCTTGTCTGCACAAAGTCTAAAATTACATGTTCTTTTACTGTCTGTTACTGGACTGTTGTAAATGTAGCCCTCAATTTTTCCACACAAAGAAGCCCATTTTGAAATATTAAATTTTTCTTCATGGCTGTTCGTAGCTAAATGCTTTAATGCTGACAGTTAATTTCAACTGTTGTAATATTCTTTTGTTAGTTCCTTACATCCACCTCATTGAAAGTGTATTATTAATTTCCTATGTGTGGGATTATTCCCAAATTTTGAAACCTCGTATTGCTTTTTACTATGTCTTTTTTAAGTTTGCCAGGTCATATCTTAAGGACCTCAGTTTCTGTGCACAGTTTCACTTCTATATCTTTCTACATTTCCTTATGAAAATCTATCCTTTCCCATTCACTTAAAAAATGCTGTTTAATCATTGTTCTTCAATACCACATTTTTGTCTTTTATCCACTTGAATTCTCAACTTCAATCTCACAATATTTGTACTACAGGAAAGGCAGCCCTCTCATTCTATCATAGCCCTCCTCTGGGTCTAGTCTCTGTCAGAGCCATGACAGTTTTGAGGCAGAACTAGCTGGCCAACCGAAGAATTCTAGTTTCTAAACTTTCAGATAAGTCTTGTTTCGTAGGACTTCATCAAAATGACAAAAACATATTTTTCTGGGTAAATAAGGTATTCACAAGAAAGCCTTGTGTTTGACAAGCAGAATATGTACATGTCTTGTACAGCATAGATGCCAAAATTTTATTATAATGGGGAAAGAGATGTGATGGTTGAAGATTTGGGCTGTACCGAAGAGACTGAAGTTGATTTTCTATTCAAAGAGAGCTTAGAATTTGTGATTTTTTTTGTCTTTGTCAGTAGATATGTGACTCACAATATCAAAGGTAGGATCAAACTGAAATAAGCCATGGAAATGAATAGTTGCAAACTACAAATACAGTACAGTTTACCAGCTGTCTTTGGTTTCTGCTAAAAATATTGATCATAGGAAACAAGCAAAAAATAGGCCATACCTCCCTCAGTGACCATTGGAAGTTAATGGTGGCCAGGAAAAGGGGTTTTCTTATTTTTTCAGTGAGAACCAGGTCAGGTAATCTAAGCTCCAGTAAATGAGTTCCCATCTATGCTTGTGTAGACAGTCCTGTTTACGTGGAAGTACGAAGGACACTTGCTGAGAAGAAATAGGGTTTCTGCAGGAGAAGGGTAGGACAGGACAATGGGTATGAGAGCGACAACAATCTGTTATATATATATGAAACTGTCAGAGCAAACATATTGTAAAAAAATATAACAGCAATCTAAGAAAGTCTTATACTCGTGTGTATAGTCAGCACAAACTGGACTCATGGTTAATAATAATAAGACATGAAGCTGAAAGGAAGACAGGTCGGGGGTTCCTGAGAGCATTTGGATGGAAGTAGAAGGGGTAGATATGATCAAACACATTGAAATTTGTAAATAGTAAAATAATTATTTTCAAAATGTCTTTCATGGTCATGCCACCATGCGGAAATATCTAACCTCTCTTTTTATAGGATCATCTTCTCTAGTGTATAGTTCAAATACGTAGAGTAAAAAATAGTAAAAATAAATTCAAACCATCATTCATTTGCATACATTTACATCTGCAAATCAAATTACTCTTAAGAACAACAGTTTCTTTTGAGTTATATAAATATTCTCATTCAAAGAGTCAGTGCACACTTCCATATACAACAAGCAAAGACCAAGATTTTCAAAGAATTCTCACAAATGCTTGAATAACGTGCTTATCTGTAGACCAGACACTGCTTGCATTTCCTCCTGTTCAAATATGATGTCAACCTCCTTTCAAGGACAACCAGAAGACACAGAATTTGTGACTTTATTGCAAAATTTTAGTGCTGAATTCTATCTTGACAGCTGCATGACTGCATGTGGTAGTTGAGAGGGCTTTTTGGTATGAAAATATTTTTCATTTTGCTAGAGAACATTCTCTGCCAAACTCTGCCAAGTCATTTCCCATGTTTTACAAAACAGTTGCCATTTGGTTCTGTCAGACTGTGTATCCCATACAACAGTTGAATATGAAATATGCAATTTTCTTTATGTGTTTGTTAGGTTTTTCCTAAGGAACATCAAACTCTGACCTTAGGTATCAGGCTGTATTCAAATCAGTTTTTGCAGAAAACTATTTTAATGGTACTCTTGGGTGACAATAGTAGGAATGGCAATGATAAGGCTAGTTGTTATTTTCTTGTAAGTCGGTAAATGTCATTCAATAAATATGTCTCCTGATATGCCTCCTGCACAAATCAGCATTGAATTATGTTTGAGAGCTCTCAGAATACATGCATTTTGATTAAATCATTACCTCATACTAAGTTTAATAGAAATGCAAAGTGTTTCCATGGTTTGAACATTGGCGTTTTCCTGTGATGAGGATTTGTAGATAAAGATTACTACTTAAAGGTACATTTTATTTTAAAAGTTATATTACATATATAAAAGAATATTAACCATTACTTTGAAAGCCTTCCAGTTAAAAGCTGAGAACTGAAGCATCTTGATACATTTTCTCTACCTTTTAACATTTAGCATGTCTCCTCATTTCACTGGCTTGTTTATTTTCTATGTTTGTTTTCCGTACAAGAAACACAAATAGCAGTAAGGTGATTTCTTGGATTTGAACAAACACCCTTTTCTCTAGTGAGGTTGACCTAACAATTAAAAAAAGAAACAAGCAAACGAGAAGCCTAGAGCCACTGAAGATATTTTTTTAAATTGTGTTTTATCCCTATCTCAGTTACTGATCCATGAGTTATATGACTGTAATGCCCAGACAAGAAAATGAAAAAGAAAAAATAAACATTTCAATACGAAAAAGAACATACTGCACAGACAAGAACCCATCTCTCAGGAGAACTTCTAAGTATCATATATCTGATATGGTTCATAGAGTGGGTTTGAGTATGTAGACATTTTTATTTACATTATCATGGAGATATAATTACCAATGGGATGATGGGAATACTCTATAACTTGCAAGTAAAGTCTTGGATAAACAATACTAATTAATTGAATTGAGAGGAATCTTTCAAAGACATAGACATCTTTGTAAAGTGATACCAGTGGCAATTTTTTAAATATGTTTTACTTTTATAAACCCTTTTGTCCTTAGAGAATTACCATCTTAGACATTTACTCATTAAGAAAACAACTGTAGGCTGTCGTGGGGTAGAGAAGGGGATACGTTGTCATGTATTCCTCTCTTCTTCAATACAGGATCAAATTCCATGTTCTTAATCATCATTTTAATTTTGGTTTGTTATAAAAACATTTTTAATGCTGCTCCCTTCCCATTCCTTTCTCCTCCAATTCATTTTGTTTCTCTTCTACTTTTATTCCTCCTGGTTTAAATGTCACCGGCATCTCCTAATTCATTCTTCCAATCAGAAGTGGTTTCTTTACTCCTCTGAATTTCTGTAAGATTCTGCACTATTCTATGAGAATTACTCTCTGCTATATAGATTATGTTTGGTTTATCTCTCAAAAATATTATATATATAAATATATATATAATATATATATATTATATATATATATATATATATAATTCTTCCAGGAACAAAATACATTTTTATTTTAAAATCTCCTCTGTTTTAAACCAGATATGTGAAGTTTGTACAGCATGCTGTGGTAACTGGAACATATTTAAGCAATGGTAACTGAATATTTGAAGCTTGCTGAGAGATTTTCTAGTGTGTCTTCAACGGTCAACACTACTCTAGATTTATTAGTCTGGAGCTGATTAACCTCCATGGTCTGACTGTAGCCTTCATTTCCACACTTCCAACGCTGTCCATATGGTGTGTTACTGGCAATTAACTTGCTCATGGCATCCTCCACATTACATTTTGCAATTTCCTCACCATTGCACATACTAATTTCTCCACCTGCTGAATGTTTTCATGCCACCTGAAATGCACCCCTCTCACTTTATCTGCTTAAAGAAATGTATTTAAGTTTGCTCTCTGTTTAACTTGTTTCATGCCATGGAAATACAGTTGTTGTCCTGGACTGAGCATTACCATTTCCTCGTTTGAGGTATGAAGGAAATAATGTATTGCACTACCTCACATTATTTTAAATAGCAGATAGCTATAAACTTTCTCTTTGAATTACTGTTTTCTAAGTGTTCAGTATTTCTAATTTTTTAATTCATTTGGTAATGAATGTATAATATATTCATCTATAATGGATTTCATAATGAACATTATACTGCCTATTCACATCTTCATGCATGCTCACCACCATGAAACCAGAGTGTTATACTTTTCTGCTCTCACCCAGTGGTGCAGATTAGAATGTAACTATATTAGCTAATTTAATGTCATGTTGGAGAAGATGAATATAGCTATGATCACAGGAAAAATAGCAGACATAATAACATTGTCACATTACATCAATATGGAAGTGGAGTGTGCCAAATTACAGTTCAGCTTCAAGCGTGTCTTTTCCCATAAGGAAAATACATCACACTGTTGTTTGGTGCTATGGCTTTAGGAGGGAGTGGGCTTGGCAATTAAAAAACTGCTTTCAAAATTCTAAGCTTTGCTAGAAGAAAAAGTTTTGGAGAGAAATTCATTGGATGCTTTGTATTTGAATTACAAATATTCACTGAAACAAAGCTGAAATACTTTTGACTCTGTCTTTTTACCATGACATTTAGAAATATCATAAGCTTTGTTACTTGTTTCTTTTGGTTGTGTGAAAAGAGAATTCAATATCTAATGTCTGAGCCTTTATATTTGAACTAAGGAAAGTTAATCCTAACACACACAGAAATAACTTGGTTCTAAGCAGCATGCTTCTCCCACTTACGATGCAAAGACAGTAAGCTGTGAAATGATTTGTTGTTATTTATGACTGAATAGTATTTTTCAATGAGCTATGTCTATAGTAGGA